AGACAGACAGTGGCAGCTAGCTGGGAGAGACTTCATCAGTGAGTGGATGGGCTAACACCAGGAGAGAGATATTAGCAATTATCTGGGAAAGGAATGAGACTTATATAGATTTTGAAAGGGCTAAGGAATCTGGGTGAAATATTTATGACTCGAATGTCCAAGGACGGTCTGCTCAGGTGTGTACACAGTTACTGGACTTCTCAGCGCCAGGGGGGTTGTGTACTTCCTTTTGAGTCCATTTGCCCTATGTACTGAAAAGCTGCTGTTGTTTGCTAAAAGCAGCCTGTTTGATTTTGTCCCGTTTGTTTGTGAAAGACTCACTTAAGTCAGGCCTGACACTTATATCTGTCTCCTTTGTTACCTAAAAATGTTGGGACAGATCCCTGCTCAGCTATTCAGGTAGGCATGATAATCACTTAAGAAGTATCTGTCTAAAAACTAGCAGAATAGCCAGGTATGATGGTGCATGCCTTAATCCCAGTGCTTGAGAGGTTGAGGCAGGAGAATCGCTGAGAGTTGGAGGCCACTCAGGGTTACATAGTAAGTTCAAGGCCAGCCTGATCTGCACAGTGAAACCCTGTCTGAAATACATACATACATGCGTGCATACATGCATACATACTAGCAGTACAAGGTTTATTAGCCCTAAATTTACCTAGCCTATCTTATACCCCTTACAGATGGAGGACACCAAGATTTAGAGTATGATATTTGGAAAATCTGCAGTGACATTCAATTGCTAGTTTTTACCGCTGTCTGATTTCAGTTTCCCTGGAGCAGTGCCTAGATATCTCCAATCATTGTCCTAAACCCAAACCACACTGGATTCCAGGACCAGCAGAGCTTTGCAGACCCCCCCCCCCCCCCCTCCCCCTCTCCCCCCCCCCCCGCCACCCACCAAGCAGGAGCAGTCACCCCAGGGAATGGGAACACCCCTCAAGCCTTAAAGGACTTCTCTGGAGCAACCTCTGCAGAGCCAGAGGTAACACTCGGCCACCGTGCAGCCTGACCAAAGGACCCCTAGCTGCCAGCTAAGCAAACACCTTAGCTGTGCAAACCCCAGCCCTTACCTTTGCTCCCCACTTCTGTGAAACCCCAAAATTTCTCTCTCCGAGCCCCTCAAAGACAGGTCTTGAATCTCTTTCTCTGTCTTTCACAGCATGGCTATGCTGATTAGGCCCTTCTTCCCCTTCTCACTGCTCAGCTCCTTGGTTGGGGTTTTGGGATGGGAGGCTGAGCCTGGTCTGTTAGGATTCCAGGAACCAGGGCTCTCATCCTGAATCTGGTAGCGTCACCTTTATGACTTCCTTTCACTGTAATTACCTCCTTAAATGCCCCATTTCTAAAAATAGTCACATTGAAGGTTAGGCCTTCAACATATAAATTGAGGGAGGGCACAAGACAGTTCAAAACATGAAGTGTTTAGAAATAATGCCTGGCATAGACCAAGCTTTATATAAATGTTAAATACTGTTGAGGTAGTGTTGTAGGGAGTATGATGCAGGGATGATATATGGACCTCCAAATAATACAAGGGGAAAATTATACCCCCAATCTGCTAGATGTCTGATATGCCGAGTTCATGCTCTCTAAAATCGAAGAATGAATTCTAGGAAATGGAGTTAAGAGTAGGAGATGTTCACGGAGAGAAAGACAGCTTCAGCCTAAGCGAGTCAGAGGGGCGCCTGGAAAGTGGGTTGCCTGTGGAGCTCACTTCTCAAGGGAGTTTTATAGAGCAAAACCACGACCTGAGGTGGGTGTAAGATGAGACAGGACAAACTATAGCTGACAAATAAGGTTACCAGGCCAGTAGCTTAGATAATATTGATTAAATGGGGATCAAAAGGGGAGGCAGGTCACATAGCCAGTGTGCACAGAATGAACTAGGGCTTCCTGGGAAGGAATGGTCAGGGCCTTTCCAGGAAGGCATGGGTTAAGATCTTGGTGTCCCGGAAATGAAGAAGTCAAATTGTCATTGTTTGCAGATGACATGATACTCTATATAGAAGACCCCAAGAACTCCACCAAAAGTCTTCCAGACTTAATAACCAAATTCAGTCAAGTAGCTGGTTACAAGGTCAACACACAAAAATCAATAGCTTTCCTCTACA